ACCTTTAGCGCGTGTGTGCTCAGCAAGTCAAGAAACATTTGACTGGTTTAACATTTTACACTCAGCTTGCCAGATGTAACTAAGGGATTGCTCTAAATGTGCCAAAATTAGGAAGAAGAGATTTAAAAGCAAATTCTAGGGTCACATGTCTATCTCATTTGGAAGAAAATGTGCAAAGGCTGCCAACAGAAACACACTTTCACTTGTGGTACTGCACTTTATGATGTTCTGATAAGTTTGAGAGTCGTACCAAGTAGTTTGCACTCAGTTTCTGTATGGTTTCAATTGTGACGAAATCTTTTGAAGTACAAGTTTATGATAATCATATATTGATCTGATTTGAGTTATTATAGCATATTCCTATATTCGTTCCTAAAGACCTGGTGCCAGTTATAAAACGTCATCGTTAGTATAAGATAGTCATTATAGCATCATTATCTCTAATAACCTGTGCATTTTCAATGGATATTTGACTACCAAATCCTGTTACCAGATGCTGTAAGCAAACAAATACTTAGTATCTATACAGCCAGCCTCTCGGTTCATTTCACTATGAGGCCTTTAAATTCAGAACAGCAGATCCAAGAATCTTTACTAATCCACCGATCCAATATGGCAGACCCTACAATAAAGAAGTGACGACTAATGCGCTGATGGTCTCCCCGCCACCACACACGCCATCTTTGCAGGGGTCTAGCAATTAAACCTCGGAGACCTGATTTAATCCATTTAATTGCGTGTGTCAAGGGGGAGACCGTCAGCAGATTAGTAGGATCTTCTTTCATATAGCGTCCACCATATATGATCTGAGGATCAGTAGAACCTCGGATCTTCTGTTCTGAATGGCCTCTATAGGGTTTGCCCATCAGACAAAGTCATAGGGTGTGTTTACAATGAATCTATTGCACTAGCTAGTGCACACTAACTGGGAGGGGACTCTAACCTATAGCTAATGCCACAGATTAACATGCCTGGCAATGGCTAAAATACAGAAAAGCTTGTGATTATACAAGTACATGGGAAGCAAGAGAAGGTGTGTTAATTTGAGTGCATTCAGAGAGCCTCCTCGAATTTAGTTCAAACTACATTGTACGATTGTTTCATTGTGAACCCACCCTTCAAGACCAAAATTTTCAGAAATATTTGGACAAAAAATTTTGTCAAAGGTAAACCTACTAATACGTAGAATAACTACAGGGTAGTTCCCTTGAATCTGATATTGTACCTGCTTTTCTCTGCATATACCATTAGGGGGATAAATACCCTTAGGCCGATATAGATATGACCAATGATTTAGACCAGTTGTGACCATATTTTAGTGGACTGCTTAAGATTTATCCAAAAATTACAGTGGGCTAAAATGTCTAATAGTGAGGACAAAAACATTTAACATTACATTCTTTTGTGGAACCTGCCTCTGGACCAATATATAGTCTAAGTCTGCCTTGTGTCTGACTTCATTCTTAAACAAAGTGACTTCATTACCAAGTTCATTACAGTGAGACATGTCACAATTCTTTTCATCATTGTTGTCAATATAAGGACAACTTCTACCAAAGTGGCTGTCAGGGGGTTTCAATGTGGATTGTGCGGCTGCCAATTTTGCGAGAGTGACAGACAGCTACTGGGGTATCTTTCTTCTAAGTGTGATATGTTTCTTTCTAAGAAATTTGTCTAATTTTCTTCAAGGCAGTATTGATTTTGTTATGATATACTCTCAGTTATCCCTTGAACCAAAGGTGACAGACAACTCATGGGTATTAATGCTTATGAAACCCAATTGTTGCACAACAGAGAAGAAATTGTCATTGCCTCAATTGCAGGACCATTTTGATGAGATGTTATATCAAAGATCCTTACTTATTTCCACCAATTTTTGATATTTCAGGATGTGGGCCCACACCTTCTGCTTCAGAGCTTCAAACACTAATTACTAAATTATACATTAGTTTGTACTCTGAATGTTCAGGAAGGAGAGGAACATTGGAGTAGGTGTGTGTGGGAGGGATAGCTGATAGAATAACTAGCCAGACTGCTAGAATATCTGTGATTTTCATACGGGAACTCAGGACAGATGTAATAATAATTTATTGAGCACGAAGAAATGGTTTACATTTACAGGCTCTCTAATTAATACAAATTTAAAATAATAATTTAAGCAGGAAACTATGCTTATCCACGCAGAGATACATGCTTTTTAATTGCACTGTTTACAAATTTACATATGGCACTCACACTCTGCACAGAGAGTGGATTGAGTAAAATGGATAGTATATTGTCTGTTAGACCCTGCAAATTCACCTCTAGTATGGAGGCGAACAGTATTTCCCGTTCAGCGAACGGTAAAGGGTTGGGAAGCAGCCTTGGTATTTATTCTCCTTATGGTATGCTGATGAAAAAAGTAGACACAAACAAAACCCAGCCTTTGTTCCTGTTGATTAAACCTGAATATCTTATATGTATGTTATGGTTGTACAAAATTTAACTCTTACAGCTGATTCAGTGTCTGCTTCAGAGGTGCCTCTGAAACTAATGTTTTAACATTATTAAAGCACTATTAAAATAGCTACTGTTCTACATTTATCTCTGTATGTGCTATTCCCCTTTTGTCAGTCTTTTATTGTTGAATTTCCAAATGCCATTTCTTTTAGGACATGAAATATTGATGTCATATTATTGAGAAAAAAGTTATGATGTTAGACATCATACATAATATTTTGACAATTCCATCATGCTGCAGATGGTGCAGAGTGTTTTTAAACCAAGTCCAAACATTCAATCTGCCATATACATGACAACAACAGAGGTTTTATTAAGACAAAAAATAATACAGTGGCACCGTCTGATATTTTCTTCATCTTTAAAATGGAAAAGAGAAATATAAGGGTTAACCAGAATGTTTGGTGGAGTTTTTAAGTGGATGTTATAAGTAAATTACTATTAACCCTTGCCTTAGACAGGAGATAATGATATGACAATTTTATTTTAGATACAAAGTGTAAAAGTACCTGTATTCCCTTTGTTTTTATCAAATGATTATTACTAAAGTAAAAACATTTTATATAATGAATACTAAAGTTCATTTAGATTTTTAAAAATTATTTGTAATACCAGAGTGTATCCAGCTGACATTCTGTAAAAAAAAAGACTTTTACACCCTGAGTATCTTAGTTTCAGAAATTCCCTCCATAGCCTCCAACATACATTGGTATTCAATGATTAAGCAGTGACAGAATTTGCATAGTTTGCGTAAAAGACAGTCTTCATTGGCATTATGAAACTTGAGGAACACCCTGGGAACTTCCACATATGTCACACCACATTAGGTCAATCAGTGGAGAACTTCAATTATCTTCCACGCTGTTTATCTCATTTGAACCCTCATTGGGGAATCATAATGCCACGATTAGATACTCCACTGAATGGTTTAATTAAATACACAAAGTAGACTAATCAATTTAAGCAGTTGATTAAGTTGTCCATTGACCTGTACATGTAATATCTATCAAATTATACAATCACTGGGGATTGCCAATAAAATGAACTTGTAGTAGGCTGAGTAAAGACCTCCGAGTAACACTGTATGGGCTTATTCCCAATGAATGTAGCGTTCTAGGTAGATAAATCCAACTCAACTGGGACCCTGGAACTCCTTTTGACATTAAATAGAATACAGAAAAGCTGATTATTATACAAGTACATTGGAAACAAGAGGAGGTGTGTTATGTGTTATGTGTGTGCTCATCTTACTGCATTCAGGGAGGGTCCCTGCCGAGTCCGATCCATCTACGTAGAAAGTTTGTTTTATTGGGAATGGACCCTTTGTTATCAAAGAACGCTTTTTTTTAATATATCAGTTTAAGCAGTGTTTACCCTCAATGCTATACTTTGATAGAAAATATATACTTATGCATCAAGCCTTGATATTTTTAGTTGAATAAAGATTCCATTAAAATAGGTTTTTTATTGACTCTTGTGTAATGGTGATCATAAGTCAATAATTGTTTCTAAAAAAGAGACCTAATTTGTTTTCTACGTATGAGGCTTGTGATCAAGAGCCTTTGAAGATGGGTTTAAAAAGTCATGCCTTGTAGGCAGAAAACAATTAAAATCTCTTCAGAAATGATTCACTTTTTTATCAGTGTTAAAGGTATCCTTACATGCCAAATGAAATTTTTTCTCAAAAATAAGCAATGGCTTTTTAATTAGATTCCCATTGGAAATTGTCTTGCCTGTGGTACTTTGAAACTTGTGGTACAGTAAATGAAATGGCATGTTTGATTTCTGTTGGGAAATGGGAGGCACTGAGTACTTTGAAAAATGGGAAGAATGGACGTAATACTGTAGTTAAGACGAAGATGTGGTCTTCTGTCAGTCAGATGTGAATTTCAGGATTCAGTGTGTGGATTGATGTGCCAGATTGACGTAGGTGAATCATGAAAATAAGATTCACTTAGGTCAAATCTATTTTTATAGGCTGACAACATACTTTAATCAACAACAAGGCAAATCACACATTTATAAATGAATGATATAAGTCAGTGAGAAGTGGTTCTACTTATATTCATTGTACATGTATATCTTTATATATTTTGTAAATAATGTAGTCTAGTGAGCCTGCAAATATATCCTCATATCATTTAGTGCTCAATAAACTTATTATTATTACTTAATTTGGCTGTAAACACACCGTTGGAGAAAGTATCCTTTCAGTAACTGACATAAACATATTGCCATACTTGTTCTGGATTATACTGCAATCTTTTTCTTTGTTATATTGATACTTTAAAAAATGATCTATTCATCTTTATTTTATATTTAGGCTTTGTTGAAAGAATTATTTCTGAGTTTTATGCAAGTGTCATTTCCGTTCTTTGGCATTATAATTTTTTGTTATCTTCAAACCAGGACAGCAAGAGAGTGGAAAAATTCAAAGTGTACATAGTGAATTTCTCTATGGCTGCAATTCTGTTCTTATGTTTTTGTTATTTTCATTCTAGGACAAATTCAAGAGCATGGACATCGAGAGCCTTTATCAGCGCTACTGTGTCCGCCTCAAACACTGCCTGTTTATCAGCCTACTTGTGGTTGTCATGGCATTCTGCACTTCTCTTGTCATCATTGATTTTGCTTCTCCGGTGAGTAGACACTATGACACTATATGATAAATTTTGGTTTCTGCTAACCCTTCATTTTATTTTTTGGTCCATTTTTTCTATCTAATTTCTGCATTATATATAACAAGTCCTTTGAATGCCAGCAGTGAAATCTTTAATAGATTGTTAGGCCACCATGGGGGTTGATGGCTTACTATAAGCACCTTACACTAATGTTGAGATTTGTGATGGCTGTAATACTGGACAGGATAAACATGAAGCATCATACAGCTTGTAAGAGTGGCACTCTTTCAGCACATGATTTTATCAAAAGAAACAGATCCAATGTCAATTCTGCATATCAGGTCATCTTTGGGCAGTGTGACTCCTTTTATAGGTACTTGTGATCAATAGTTCAGTTAGCTAAGGAAGGCCATCAACCTCAATGACCAGATTTAACAATACTCATTAGTTTTTACTGCCACTGTTTAGAAAACTTATCATATTTAATAATGCTTTATTACTAAGCTGTTGAACTAACCCTGTTGATTTCTGAAGATTCTAGAATTTCTTGGAATGGATTCTAGACATTTTTGATGTCTTTAACTAAAAATTAAGTATAACCACCTTATGCAAGGTGAAGTAAACTAGGGAGAGGACTGTAGCATGCCATATGATATGAAGGGACCTCAGAAAGGGTTAATTCATCCACACCATAGTTTCTATATGTGTTTCAGAACCCCAGTCACCTCTACCAGGTTTCTGTACATTTTTAAAATGTAAGATCTAATTTCTCTATATTCCAGCATGCCAACCACCCTAACTCCACAGTCCAGCTTGCAGTCACCTTCAGTGGCACTATCCTAGTCCTCATCATGTTGGTTCTCATCTGCTTCGAAAGAATATTCCAGAAGTTCACAGTCCCAGTGACGTTATTTGTGTGGCTGATTCTCCTTACAGGCACATATGTTTATGTCGGGTTCAGTGATGCCAGGAATTGTATGGACGATGTACCTGTGATATATTACATAATTATTGTGACTTATACAATGTTGCCGCTGTCACAGCGGTGGGCCATCTGCCTTGGGACAGCTACAGGTTTGTCACAGATATGCATAGCCTGGGGTTTTGCTCAGAGATTCAGAGACTATTTGGAGTACCAGGTAGGTGTTGTTAAAATGGCTGCAATTGTGGCAAATCTGCATGCTATCTTTTGGGCCTTTTTCGAGCCATGTTTTTTTCTCTTCTTTGTCAATAAATCTCAACACCACACCTAAATACCATATCTAAATGTTTAGTCANAGATAGGCTATAGTGAAGAGGTTAGTGTCAAGTTATCTCTGAAGCTCAGGGTGGGGTATTCAGGCATCTAGTGAAACTTTTGTGTAGAGATTGGGTTGTACCCAATGTTTTTTAAAGGATTGAAAAGTTTTTTCATGCTTTTTTTCAAGACTTCTGTATCCTGTATAACTGCCCTGTCATGGTAAAGACTACCTTCCATATATCATGCACCAGTCTTAATTCATATTTCATAATCTAAGTAAAACATTATTCACACTTCACTTCATAATCTAATTTTGTTCACACTTCATTTGCTGATTTTTCCTAGGAATTCACCATGGTCAGCTGGGGATTCGATCCTGAATTATTTATAACAGTGTAAATGATATAAAATGACAAAATGGTCAGGAGATGAAAAGATCTTTTTTTATCAATTTTTTTCTCAAAATGCACAGAATTGTTATTGATCATATTTTTTAATTCGGGAAAGAAAACATGGATGTCATGTGACTGATAGTCAAAAATGAGTAGAATTTGTATAAAAATGTAGACTTATCCTGTCTTTGGTCTGACAAATTGACAAGTCAATCTACATATCATAGTGATTATTGAGATTTATGGGAAAAATTCAAGTATAGAACTTCAACCTTACAGTCAGCCCTTACAGTTACATAAGGCTTTTCTTTTTTTTTTCCTTTTTTTAGTGTAAAAACAATTTGACAGAATGAAGGCCAATTATTTCAAGACCTTTAACGCGTGTGTGCTCAGCAAGTCAAGAAACATTTGACTGGTTTAACATTTTACACTCAGCTTGCCAGATGTAACTAAGGGATTGCTCTAAATGTGCCAAAATTAGGGAGAAGAGATTTAAAAGCAAATTCTAGGGTCACATGTCTATCTCATTTGGAAGAAAATGTGCAAAGGCTGCCAACAGAAACACACTTTCACTTGTGGTACTGCACTTTATGATGTTCTGATAAGTTTGAGAGTAGTACCAAGTAGTTTGCACTCAGTTTCTGTATGGTTTCAATTGTGACAAAATCTTTTGAAGTACAAGTTTATGATAATCACATATTGATCTCATTTGAGTTATTATAGCATATTCCTATATATTTGTTCCTAAAGACCTGGTGCCAGTTATAGAACGTCATCGTTAGTATAAGATAGTCATTATAGCATCATTATCTCTAATAACCTGTGCATTTTCAATGGACATTTGACTACCAAATCCTGTTACTAGATGCTGTAAGCAAACAAATACTAAGTAGCTATACAGCCAGCCTCGCGTTCTGTTACACTATGAGGCCTTTAAATTCAGAACAGCAGATCAAAGAATCTTTACTAATCCACCGATCAAATATGGCAGACCCTACAATAAAGAAGTGACGACTAATGCGCTGATGGTCTCCCTGCCACCACACACGCCATCCTTGCAGGGGTCTAGCAATTAAACCTCGGAGACCTGATTTAATCCATTTAATTGCGTGTGTCAAGGGGGAGACCGTCAGCATATTAGTAGGCTCTTCTTTCATATAGGGTCCACCATATATGATCTGTGGATCAGTAGAACCTCGGATATCTTCTGTTCTGAATGGCTTCTATAGAGTTTGCCTATCAGACAAAGTCATAGGGTGTGTTTACAATGAATCTAATGCACTAGCTAGTGCACACTAACTCAGAGAAGACTCTAACCTAGCTAATGCCACAGATTAACATGCCTCCTCCTGGCATTGGCTAAAATACAGAAAAGCTTGTGATTATACAAGTACATGGGAGGCAAGAGGTGTGTTAATCTGATTGCATTCAGAGAGCCTCCTCGAAGTTAGTTCAAACTACATTGTATGATTGTTTCATTGTGAACCCACCCTTCAAGACCAAAATTTACAGAAATATTTGGACAAAAAATTTATCAAAGGTAAACCTAGTAATATATAGGATAACTAGTTCCCTTGAATCTGATATTGTGCCTGTTTTTCTCTGCATATACCATTAGGGGAATAAATACATGTACCCTTAGGCCGATATAGATATGACCAATGATTTAGACCAGTTGTGACCATATTTTAGTGGCCTGCTTAAGATTTATCCAAAAATTACAGTGGGCTAAAATGTCTAATAGTGAGGACAAAAACATTTAACATTACATTCTTTTGTGGAACCTGCCTCTGGTCCAATATATACATAGTCTAAGTCTGCCTTGAGCCTGACTTCATTCTTAAACAAAGTGACTTCATTATCAAGTTCATTACAGTGAGACATGTCACAATTCTTTTCATCATTGTTGTCAATATAAGGACAACTTCTACAAAAGTGTCTGTCAGGGGGTTTCAGTGTGGATTGTGCGGCTGCCAATTTTGCGAGAGTGACAGACAGCTACTGGGGTATTTTTCTTTTAAGTGTGATATGTTTCTTTCTAAGAAATTTGTCTAATTTTCTTCAAGGCAGTATTGATTTTGTTATGATATACTCTCAGTTATCCCTTGAACCAAAGGTGACAGACACCTCATGAGTATTAATGCTTATGAAACCCAATTGTTGCACAACAGAGAAGAAATTGCCATTGCCTCAATTGCAGGACCATTTTGATGAGATGTTATATCAAAGATCCTTACTTATTTCCACCAATTTTTGATATTTCAGGATGTGGGCCCACACCTTCTGCTCCAGAGCTTCAAACACTAATTACTAAATTATACATTAGATTGTACTCTGAATGTTCAGGAAGGAGAGAAACATTGGAGTAGGTGTGTGTGGGAGGGATAGCTGATAGAATAACTTGCCAGACTGCTAGAATATCTGTGATTTTCATACGGGAACTCAGGACAGATGTAATAATAATTTATTGAGCACGAAGAAATGGTTTACATTTACTGGCTCTCTAATTAATACAAATATAAAATAATAATTTAAGCAGGAAACTATGCTTATCCACACAGGGATTCACGCTTTTTAATTGCACTGTTTACAAATTTACATATGGCACTCACACATTGTCTGTTAGACCCTGCAAATTCACCTCTGGTATGGAGGCGAACAGTATTACCCGTTCGGCGAACGGTGAGGGGTTGGGAAGCGGCCTTGGTATTTATTCTCCTTATGGTATGCTGATGAAAAAAGTAGACACAAACAAAACCCAGCCTTGGTTCCTGTTGATTTCACCTGAATAACTGATCTTATATGTATGTTATGGTTGTACAAAATTTGACTCTTGGAAAATTACAGCTGATTCAGTGTCTGCTTCAGAGGTGCCTCTGAAACTAATGTTTTAACATTATTAAAACACTATTAAAATAGCTGCTGTTCTACATGTATCTCTGTATGTGCTATTCCCCTTTTGTCAGTCTTTTATTGTTGAATTTCCAAATGCCATTTCTTTTAGGACATGAAATATTGATGTCATATTATTGAGAAAAAAGTTATGAAGTTAGACATCATAATATTTTGACAATTCCATCATGCTGCAGATGGTGCAGAGTGTTTTTAAACCAAGTCCAAACATTCGATCTGCCATATACATGACAACAACAGAGGTTTTATTAAGACAAAAAATAATACAGTGGCACCGTCTGATATTTTCTTCATCTTTAAAATGGAAAAGAGAAATCTAAGGGTTAACCAGAATGTTTGGTGGAGTTTTTAAGTGGATGTTATAAGTAAATTACTATTAACCCTTGCCTTAGACAGGAGATAATGATATGACAATTTTATTTTAGATACAAAGTGTAAAAGTACCTGTATTCCCTTTGTTTTTTTCAAATGATTATAACTAAAGTAAAAACATTTTATATAAAGTATACTAAAGTTCATTTAGATTTTTAAAAATTACTTGGCTCTTATTTGCAATTAAAGGTAATACCAGAGTGTATCCAGCTAACATTCTGTTAGAAAAAAAAAAAAAAGACTTTTACACCCTGAGTATCTTAGTTTCAAAAATTCCCTCCATAGCCTCCAACATACATTGGTATTCAATGATTAAGCAGTGACAGAATTTGCATAGTTTGCGTAAAAGACAGTCTTCATTGGCATTATGATACTTGAGGAACACCCTGGGAACTTCCACATATGTCACACCACATTAGGTCAATCAGTGGAGAAGTTCAATTATCTTCCACGCTGTTTATCTCATTTGAACCCTCATTGGGGAATCATAATGCCACGATTAGATACTCCACTGAATGGTTTAATTAAATACACAAAGTAGACTAATCAATTTAAGCAGTTGATTAAGTTGTCCATTGACCTGTACATGTAATATCTATCAAATCATACAGTCACTGGGGATTTCCAATAAAATGAACTTGTAGTAGGCTGCGTAAAGACTTCCTAGTTGTGCTGCATGGGCTCATTCCCAATGAATCTAGCATTCTAGGTTGATAAATCCAACTCAACTGAGAGTCTAGGACTCCTTTTGACATTAAATAGAATACAGAAAAGCTGATGATTATACAAGTACATTGGAAACAAGAGGAAGCGTGTTAATCTGCCAATCTTTTTGCATTCAGGGAGGGTCCCTGCCAAGTTGGATCCATCTACGTAGAAAGTTTGTTACATTGGGAATGGACCCTTTGTTATCAAAGAACATTTATTCTGATATCAGTTTAAGCAGTGTTTGCCACCAGTGTTACACTTTGATAGAAAATATATAGTTATGCATCAAGCCATGGTATTTTCAGTTAAATAGTAAAGAATCCAGTAAAATAGGGTTTTTATTGACTCTTGTGTAATGGTGATCATAAGTCAATAATTGTTTCTAAAAAAGAGACCTAATTTGTTTTCTACGTATGAGGCTTGTGATCAAGAGCCTTTGAAGATGGGTTTAAAAGTCATGCCTCGTAGGCAGAAAACAATTTAAATCTCTTCAGAAATGATTAACTTTTTTTTCAGTGTTAAAGGTATCCTCACATGCCAAATGAAATTTTTTCTCAAAAATAAGCAATGATTTTTTAATTAGATTCCCATTGGAAATTGTCTTGCCTGTGGTACTTTGAAACTTGTGGTACAGTAAATGAAATGGCATGTTTGATTTCTGCTGGGAAATGGGAGGCATTGAGTACTTTGAAAAACAGGAAGAATGGACGTAATACTGTAGTTAAGATGAACATGGGGTCTTCTGGCAGTGATGTGAGTTTCGGGATTCAGTGTATGGATTGATGTGCTAGATTGACGTATCTGAATCATGAAAATAAGATTCACCTTGGTCGAATCTATTGTCATATGCTGACAACATACTAAAATCAACAACAAGGCAAAGCACACATTTATAAATGAATGATATAAGTCAGTGAGAAATGGGTCTACTTAATTTGGCTGTAAAAACACTGTTGGAGAAAGTATCATTTTGGTAACTGTCTTGAACATATTGCCATACTTGTTCTGGATTATACTGCATTCTTTTTCTTTGCTATATTGATACTTTAAAAAATTACATTGGGAGTTTTATCCAAGTGTCATTTTTTGTTATCTTCAAACCAGCACAGCAAGAGAGTGGAAAAATTCAAAGAGTTCATATATAACCAAGTGAATTTCTATGTGGATGCAATCCAAATTGTTCTTATGTTTTTGCTATTTTCATTCTAGGACAAATTCAAGAGCATGGACATCGAGAGCCTTTATCAGCGCTACTGTGTCCGCCTCAAACACTGCCTGTTTATCAGTCTACTTGTGGTTGTCATGGCATTCTGCACTTCTCTTGTCATCATTGATTTTGCTTCCCCGGTGAGTAACACTATGACACTATATGAAAAACTTTGGTTTTTGCTAACCCTTCATTTGATTTTTGGCACGTTTTCCTTCTAATTTCTGCATTATATAACAAGTCCTTTGAATACCAACAGTGAAATCTTTAATAGATTGTTAGGCCACCATGGGAGTTGATGGCTTACTATAAGCACCTTACACTAATGTTGAGATTTGTGATGGCTGTAAAAACTGAACAGGATAAACATGAAGCACCATACAGCTAGTAAGAATGGCACTCTGTAAACATGATTTTATCAAAAGTAACAGATCCAATGGCAATTCTGAATATCATGTCATCTTTGGGCAGTGTGACTTGATCCTTTTATAGGTACTTGTGATCAATAGTTCAGTTAGCTGAGGAAGGCCATCAACCCAATGACCACTTCTAACAATACTCATAAGTTTTCACTGCCACTGTGTAGAAAACCTATCATATTTAATACGTAATGGTTTAATACTAAGCTGTTGAACTAACACTGTTGATTTCTAAAGTTTCTGCAGCCATTCCACGAAAAAGGGTACAATTCTGAATAATACCTGTCGCAGCTTATTTTCGGTAGTAAAAGCATCTGCAATTTTGCTTTTTTTAGCCTTTTTTTAGCAGGAACTGATGTGTTCTACTTAAAAAACAACAATTAATATAGTACCACTTGCTTTGACGGGAACCCCGGGGGTCTATATGCCGCAAAAAGCACGATTTCGACGTGTCGCTTCGGTATTATAGCTGATTTGCCACAAGAAAAAATTTATATTTTCTCGTGTTTTAGTGTTTTTAGTCCTCAACTAATTTGAATTCATGTTTCTTTTTATCATACATGGTGTTCTCTGTCGAATTTGTTGGTTAGTTACGTCACTGTCATAGTTTAATCAATGTCGCTCAGTAACCCCTAACCTCCGTAACGCTTTTTTAAATCAATGTAAGAATAAAAGAAAATGCGCTTAAATGGACTTCCTGTGCATTTTTCAAACTCATAATACATGAAGTTTAATAAAACAGTGCTATTTGTTAATTTTGAATGATGCGTTCCATCATAGAGAATGTTAACTCACAAAAGTCGGAGTGTCGCATTTAAGAGCCTAACCTCAGTAACGGACCAAATTTGAAGAAAATGTTGCTTTAGAAAGTTAAAAATATCATTTTTGTTAAGCAAGGACCAGCTTCGTCCTAAAAAATTCATTCAATAGTTATGCAAAGTTATCCCGAGGATAAAAACTGAAAAAGAATGCGTGTCACCTTACGTCCGTTATGCTAACCTCCGTTACGAAATAAGTTAACTGTTATAAAAATGACTGTTAATACATTAAAACGTTATTTCTGTGGTTTTGTGAGTTAATTCTGATCATATAAGGAGTTCTACTTCTATGTGCTGATGTTGTATGCATTCATACTGCTTGCTGTTAAAGACATTACCCCGCATTAATAATAGATATAAAATATACATAAAATATGATAATTCTATCAAGAAAGGCTAATGATTTAAGTTTTTACTCCAGTTTGCTATTAAATCGAGGGTAAATCGTGATTTGTGTTATCGCACTGATTTCCATTTGTCACTTGAAGATGCCTTTTTGAACTTGTCATTCTGATTTTAAGCGAAATGAGTAGTTTTAAGGACTGTCTTGGCAAGAAAAATGGTACTAGCTGACATCAGTACTAACGTGCATGTAGCAGACATTATTTTCGCGGGAGATATATGGCGAAATATATTAAGCATTGAAGCAACAGTTACATTTATCAGGTAGAACTGCGGGATTATTAGGTCCTATTTTATTATTTCAGTATCACATAATAGTTTTTATCATCTTCTAGATGCTTCCAGTAACTTTAATTGGACAGTTATTGGCAAACACGTGTCTATTGTCGGCCTATTGTATGCATTAACTTTCTCGGGTATTTTGTTGTTTTTGCCTATAACTGCGATCATGTGCATGTTGGTTTAACGTTTTGTTATACAGACACCAATATGCCACTTACAGAGCGACAAAAACACTACAGAGAAAGAAAAATAATCTAATGACCGCGAAGCTTTTCTTGTGAAAGATTTTGAGCGGTTTAAATGTATGACATAATTTAGACTAGAGTTTAACCTTACCTCTGTTACTAAGATTATAAATTAAACTCTTACTTTGGTAAAATATGGAATGTGAATTCGACAGATACATAGATCAACATATTAGCGGTGAAATGTATCCAGTAGTGGTAAATGTATTTATGTAGTCCTTGAAAGTAAGCAAAACAACCTGTTGTAACCATTTGCCATTTAATGGTTTGAATAAACATGTTTTATCAATTTTTCTATGTTATTATGTAAATGTATCGTATCTGTAATACTATAAATTCCAAATTCATCTTCTAAAGTCTACCTTAAGCTAAAAATATCAAAACAAATATATGATCGCTGACCTATGTAGAATGACCTAACCTCCGTTACGAAATTACTCATTTTTCATTTGAACACTGGATATGTGTGTGCTCATTGATCAATGCTCATATCATAATAGAATGATAGCACTTTGTTCATAAACAAATAGTATGATAAAAAAGCAAGTCTGTCCCCAACGATTAATAAAATATTTAAATTGGAATATCTCAGCCTTTGTATTTATAGAAAACGAGTCACTTATTACCAATGTGTTTGCACTGCATTTTTCTATAATTGAAGAGAAATCTTAAATGGGCAATAATATTTTGAATACATACAAAATCTTTATAATTGAATCAAATATGGAGCCTGTGACCTTTGGCATGATTGAAATATAACCTAATTTAGATGTTACCTAACCTCCGTAACGAAAAAAATACTGTACCATGTTTATACGTGCATATTTCTTGAAATACAGTAATGGTGTGGGTTAAAATTCTTCTACTACTCTCTGAATACCTCTTCATCAAAATAATATAAAAAGTTTTCCAGTTTTGTAAAGTTCATATCGCTGCATTTCTTGTTTTGGAATTGTACCCCTTTTCGTGGAATGGCTGTCTGGAATTTTTTTGAAAGGGATTCTAGACATTTTTGATGTCTTTAACTAAAAGATATAACCACCCTATGCAAGGTGAAGTAAACTAGGGAGAGAGCTGTAGCATATGATATGAAGGGACCTCAGAAAGGGTTAATTCATCCACACCATAGTTTCTTTATGTGTTTCAGAACCCCAGTCACCTCTACCAGATTTCTGTATATTTTTAAAACGTAAGATCTAGTTTCTCTATATTCCAGCATGCCAACCACCCCAACTCCACAGTCCAGCTTGCAGTCACCTTCAGTGGCACTATCCTAGTCCTCATCATGTTGGTTCTCATCTGCTTCGAAAGAATATTCCAGAAGTTCACAGTCCCAGTGACGTTATTTGTGTGGCTGATTCTCCTGACAGGCACATATGTTTATGTCGGGTTCAGTGATGCCAGGAATTGTATGGACGATGTACCTGTGATATATTACATAATAATTGTGACTTATACAATGTTGCCGCTGTCACAGCGGTGGGCCATCTGCCTTGGGACAGCTACAGGTTTGTCACAGATATGCATAGCCTGGGGTTTTGCTCAGAGATTCAGAGACTATTTGGAGTACCAGGTAGGTGTTGTTAAAATGGCTGCAATTGTGGCAAATCTGCATAAAATCTTTTGGGCCTTTTTCGAGCCATGTTTTTTTTCTCTTCTTTGTCAATAAAACTCAACACCACACCTAAATACCATATCTAAATGTTTAGTCGNCAACAAGGCAAATCACACATTTATAAATGAATGATATAAGTCAGTGAGAAGTGGTTCTACTTATATTCATTGTACATGTATATCTTTATATATTTTGTAAATAATGTAGTCTAGTGAGCCTGCAAATATATCCTCATATCATTTAGTGCTCAATAAACTTATTATTATTACTTAATTTGGCTGTAAACACACCGTTGGAGAAAGTATCCTTTCAGTAACTGACATAAACATATTGCCATACTTGTTCTGGATTATACTGCAATCTTTTTCTTTGTTATATTGATACTTTAAAAAATGATCTATTCATCTTTATTTTATATTTAGGCTTTGTTGAAAGAATTATTTCTGAGTTTTATGCAAGTGTCATTTCCGTTCTTTGGCATTATAATTTTTTGTTATCTTCAAACCAGGACAGCAAGAGAGTGGAAAAATTCAAAGTGTACATAGTGAATTTCTCTATGGCTGCAATTCTGTTCTTATGTTTTTGTTATTTTCATTCTAGGACAAATTCAAGAGCATGGACATCGAGAGCCTTTATCAGCGCTACTGTGTCCGCCTCAAACACTGCCTGTTTATCAGCCTACTTGTGGTTGTCATGGCATTCTGCACTTCTCTTGTCATCATTGATTTTGCTTCTCCGGTGAGTAGACACTATGACACTATATGATAAATTTTGGTTTCTGCTAACCCTTCATTTTATTTTTTGGTCCATTTTTTCTATCTAATTTCTGCATTATATATAACAAGTCCTTTGAATGCCAGCAGTGAAATCTTTAATAGATTGTTAGGCCACCATGGGGGTTGATGGCTTACTATAAGCACCTTACACTAATGTTGAGATTTGTGATGGCTGTAATACTGGACAGGATAAACATGAAGCATCATACAGCTTGTAAGAGTGGCACTCTTTCAGCACATGATTTTATCAAAAGAAACAGATCCAATGTCAATTCTGCATATCAGGTCATCTTTGGGCAGTGTGACTCCTTTTATAGGTACTTGTGATCAATAGTTCAGTTAGCTAAGGAAGGCCATCAACCTCAATGACCAGATTTAACAATACTCATTAGTTTTTACTGCCACTGTTTAGAAAACTTATCATATTTAATAATGCTTTATTACTAAGCTGTTGAACTAACCCTGTTGATTTCTGAAGATTCTAGAATTTCTTGGAATGGATTCTAGACATTTTTGATGTCTTTAACTAAAAATTAAGTATAACCACCTTATGCAAGGTGAAGTAAACTAGGGAGAGGACTGTAGCATGCCATATGATATGAAGGGACCTCAGAAAGGGTTAATTCATCCACACCATAGTTTCTATATGTGTTTCAGAACCCCAGTCACCTCTACCAGGTTTCTGTACATTTTTAAAATGTAAGATCTAATTTCTCTATATTCCAGCATGCCAACCACCCTAACTCCACAGTCCAGCTTGCAGTCACCTTCAGTGGCACTATCCTAGTCCTCATCATGTTGGTTCTCATCTGCTTCGAAAGAATATTCCAGAAGTTCACAGTCCCAGTGACGTTATTTGTGTGGCTGATTCTCCTTACAGGCACATATGTTTATGTCGGGTTCAGTGATGCCAGGAATTGTATGGACGATGTACCTGTGATATATTACATAATTATTGTGACTTATACAATGTTGCCGCTGTCACAGCGGTGGGCCATCTGCCTTGGGACAGCTACAGGTTTGTCACAGATATGCATAGCCTGGGGTTTTGCTCAGAGATTCAGAGACTATTTGGAGTACCAGGTAGGTGTTGTTAAAATGGCTGCAATTGTGGCAAATCTGCATGCTATCTTTTGGGCCTTTTTCGAGCCATGTTTTTTTCTCTTCTTTGTCAATAAATCTCAACACCACACCTAAATACCATATCTAAATGTTTAGTCAGACGCAATTTTTCTTTCAGCCGTAAGTTAAAAGGTTTTTTCCTGTCCATGGAAAAAAATTAACTGGCATTCAGCCTAATATACTGTGTAACCTAACTCTCAACAAAAAATTTATATATTTCCAGAAAATGAAATTATTTAGATAAACTGGGATCAGTCATTATAAGTTTAAAAACAAACAGTCAATACATGTAAGAGACAATAAAATAAGACTTTGTAAAATAATTATACTAAACATTACACACCTATATTGGAAAATAAATTCCGATAATTTTACCATGAAATTCTCACAGTGCTATCCCCTTCAAATGGCACCCAAGGCACATAATAATAATAATAATCTTTATTGGAATATTACAACCCCAAGGTTGAAGTTTTACATAATATATATACATGTATACTTTATTTATTTAAATGAAATGTATGTGAGAGAAGCCTGGTCATTTTTGCCCAATTACACTCTATAATCTTGCCTTATATGCCATACTCAGATATGCCACAGTGAGTTGAAATAATAGTAACAAATGTATTTTATATTCACTACTTTCCAGTTGCTTGCAAACAGTGTGATATTTTTGTGTGCCAATATGGTGGGCATGTACCACAAGTACCTGACCGAGATTGCCCATCGCAGGACATTCCTGGACACACGCAACTGTATAGAGGCACGCATCAAGTTGGAGCATGAAAGAGAACAGCAGGTTTGTATAATAGCTATACCACGGGAGGCTGGTGGGGGGAGGAGGGGTACCGTCATTGGAGGTTGTGGGGGATATTTGTGCGGGATGTCTGTGATGTAAGAGGAGAATATATGTACACCACAGTCTTGATGGGGAGGGGAGTTACATGTGCACGTCTGGCAGTTTATTTTGAGCTGGATTATTAAACATGAGCAGCAGGTTTGTTCAACACCACGTACAGCAGGGTGTGGGGCAACGCCACCAAGTACAGCATCATGGTGGGAAGGCCAACGTTTACATGTAGACACTGTACTGAAGAAACTACATTTTTTCTTTATTTATGTTTTTTTCTCTTTCATGCAAAAACAGGATGTTTATATGAAGAAGGAAGTGATTTATTGTGATCTATGATTTGACTGTTGATTTATGTTAAACCTGTAGAACTGGTACCCTTAATGAGCTAAATAAAAGTACGTCACAGTCCCATATGCAGGGCAAATGTCATTTGTATGAAATGGAGCCTGTTTTGATATCTGGAAACTTATCAGATGTATGTATGTTTCTCTTTATACAATACATTACATTGTACAGAGCTGTTGCTGCTATTGGATGTCCCCATGTGATCCTGATTTTATTTTACACTGATTTGTTTATATCACTAAATGTCAGTGATTCCTTTAACTTTCATAGTACTCCCAGGAATTGTTTAACCCTAGAATTGCCAGGTTATTTAATTTGTTCAGAAATTAGGAGGTTGAAGCTAAAATGCACCATGAAGGCAAGCTGATCAAATCTGAGAGCATCTTCCTTACATGATTACAGGGAGCAGGGTCAAATGTGTGAAGCAATGTGAAACTCCCATTGGAATCTTGGCTTTATGATTGCTTCCATCAAATATTCATTTTTAGGTGGTTAACCTCAAAATGCTGTCTTTGATATTTTGGTATTCAGTAGATATGCACTCTAAAGTTAAAGACCAAAAGAGCCTAAAGCAGCCAGAGTTTTGGGATTTCTCTCTCTCTCTCACTCTCTCTCTCTCTCTCTCTCTCTCTTTCTCACATTGATTCACACACAAATACTCCAGTATTTTCTTGCATTACACTGGCCCCCTGTGGTTGTGATTTACAGGAGAGGATCTTAGTTAGCTGCCTGCCTAGAAGTCTGGCAAGCCTGCTCCGTGAGGACTTCAAGATGAAAATGGAGATGAAGGCTCCTATTACATCAAAGTTTCATGATCTTTTTGTTCAAACACATCAGAATGTCAGGTACAGAATGCACAGAATATATTGCATGGGAGGAAGTGAAGTTGCTTTGGTTGAAGGATGTGATTGCGGTAGAGGAGATAGCCACATTGCGATTGAGAAGACATTGATTGCATTGGTTGTGATCTACATTATGGTGGAGGCAACAGATGATTTTGGGCATAAATATATTTAACTGAATATTTATAATTGTAACTGAAGATTTTTATATCTTTGTGGTGGTGGAATTCAGTTTACTCTGTGGCATGAGAAATATATTGGGATTTACTTCAGTAGCCTGTCTGTTTCTCCTTTTTAACAGCAAGGGAAAGTTTCCAGGTGGCAGATACTCTGTCAGTTTCCAAAGAAACGGTATTTAGAAAGTATTGTGACATAAAGGGTTATAAAAGATTACAAAAATTATGAAGGATATCCATGAACTAATTTAGGAATATAAGTAGTCAATGACGAAAGTTTGGTTGATAATTTTAATGTTCTACAGTATACAACTTATCCCGAGGTAGTGTTGTTGTTGTTTTTTTTTTTTTTTTTTTCAAAAGTTGTTTTTATCTGTGAATATTTCTATTTGAAGGATGGATATGTTGAGGAAATGATATAACATTCCATTTTCCAAAGTTTCGGAAATTTTTCAAAATACACTCCTTTTAATTATCTCAGTGACATTTACTGATGAAAAAGCTAGCTATTAATAGGGCTTCATTATTTTTCCTTTTTGACAAATATGGCAGGCACGGAAGTATAATGATATTGCCATAATCTTGTTCATGTTATTATCATTATTTTTGCAGGAAAAGTTATTACTGAGTGTCATACCAGCTCACCTGGCAGTAGAAATGAAAAATGAAATGATCAGGAAAATACGCACTTCCACAGTTGATCACAATAGATCTTGTAAAAGGGCCTCTTCCACCAGATTTCATGACTTATACGTCAAAGGCCATATTAACGTCAGGTACAGGGGTCATTTATGCCTAAGTGTTGGTTTTTTGTTTAGTTGCTCATTATGATTGAAGTTTTTGTTTTAAGTAATAAAATTTTTATTTTTGTTTTCATTTGAATTTTTAAATTTATTTTGTTCTATTTGCTGATATGCCTCAAAACTTATTAACAAGAGTTGATTTGATTCGAATTTAATTTTTGTGCATGTGGAACATATTGAAGGATTCTTCCAAGAAACTGAAAATTGCTACTACTTTATTTTATGTATTTTTTTATATTTAACACAAACTAACAAGTCCCAGTGAAACTTTTCCTGGTCATAAATTAATCAGTAGTTAAGGAAAGGAATTGAATATATAAGAGAAAAAAACAAATTGTGGAAATTTAATACTGGTATGTGTTCTGACTTTACCACCATATGTTACTCTGACTTGTAATAATAAAATTTCATATTTTTGTTTTCAGCATTTTATTTTCAGATATTGTGAATTTTACGCCTCTGGCATCTGAGTGCACTGCCGCTCAACTTGTCAAGGTCCTCAACGAACTCTTTGGGAGATTTGACAAACTAGCTCAGGTATATACTTAATGATGAAGAGTGTTCAATAATGATTCCATCTTTTCTATGGGCAAAAATTATCACTCTTTCATATACTTTTCCTTTTTTAGAACCATAATAATTATATTTCTATATAGCATTTGTTGTGTTTTTAATGCACAAATAGAACTGTAAGGTAGCCCACTTTTCAGTGTTTTTGCTACCACTCAATAGAAATGCTCTTATTATAAAAAATTGTTTTAAAAAATATAGTATCTGTAAAATTCATAATTTCACCATCGGGTAATTGTGGTAGTTAAGATATCAAGATTTTGGTAGCTCAGAAGTTACTTAACAACAAAGCCTATGTTCAATGATGTACATGAGGCCAGTGCCAATACAACAGACATGACAGTACATTGCATGAATCAAAAATTCACTGTTACAGTATTGATTAAAACATACAAATTACTCAGAGTTACAGTTATTATTATATTTTCAGGAAAATGACTGCATGCGTATAAAGATCCTGGGTGACTGTTATTACTGTGTCTCTGGGTTACCCATATCAAGACCTAACCATGCCAACAACTGTGTTAAAATGGGGCTGAAAATGATAGAGGCTATCAGGTATATCCTAGCTTGAGTTTCTTGGAGAATTGGGGTAATACATGCATCTTCTTCATTTTCATATATACGTAATGCACTGTGTTCCTCCACTTATAAGGGGTGCCTCAATCAATAAAAGAGATTTGAAAATGAAGTACATGTAGCTGCATGGCACACTTCAGATCTTACATGTAATTCAGGGTTTTAAAAAATCAGTTCTCAAATTGCATTTTGATCAGTTCGTGTGCTTTTTCCCTAGCTGATAGTCTTATAAATAGTCATAAAGATATATTAATGCTTTTCATTAGAATCTACTATACTTTTAATGCAGACAGGTGAGAGAAGCCACAGGTGTCAATGTTGACATGAGGATAGGCATCCACACTGGGAATGTGTTATGTGGAGTACTGGGACTGCGGAAGTGGCAGTACGACGTCTGGTCAGATGACGTCACATTGGCCAATCACATGGAGCAGGGAGGCGTGCCAGGGTGAGGATGGATACTGCTATGAAGAGTATATATAGACAATCTAGTTGTTTGTAGCAATATTAAAGAATGACTAAAATGAATTGTTTCAACTATAAGAGACACTAAGACTTGGTTCCCATACTTAGATCGATCCATCTGGATTGACCTAACTCTCTGGAGGTTCACACTAAATTGCTATCAGCTCAAGAGGCTTAAATGTCTGTCACGCTTACCGAATTAGCTAGGGGTAAAGATAATTACCCCCTAACAGTTTTACTAGGCGTGACAAACATTTAAGCCAGTTAGTTTGATAGCAATTTAGTGAGACTCCCCAGGGAGATAGATCGATCCAAATATCTGTTGGAATGGTCCTTAAGCACATTTACTTCGTGTATGGCCCCTTAGCAAATATTTCAGGCTAAGCACTTGATGTTTTGACCAATGTTTAATTGTTACATGCAGCTTGTATAACCATTCTAAAATTCTGAGTAAAACTGTCATAACTCCACCAGTGGCAATAAATGTGTATAGCAAAAGAAAAATATGTGAGCAAGAAATGAATAACTGAATTAATTTTTAAAAAATGAAGAAGCATTCAGCTTTTTTTTGCCAGTTACTATTTCAACTTTAATGTGGTCAAGAATTCTTGTTCAAATGCCATAAAATGATACTTTACAGGAGAGTTCACATATCAAAGTATACACTATTGCATCTGAGCACAGAGTTTGGGGTAGAGCCTGGACATGGCCATGAGAGAGATGAATTTATACGAGAAAGAGATGTCGAAACTTATCTTATTATTCCACCAACTAATGTAAGTGGTTTGGAAGATCTGTATGATTGCAAAATTTTACTTAGAATTGGTCTAGACTATGGAAATGTGTAAAATCTCAAGTTGTGATAATGTGTGACACAGTCAATTGTTTATTGTTCGAGAAGGTCCAGATGGTACGTGTTCAGACTTGTGATTTTAAAAGAGAATGTTCATGAACTAAGTGTACATTGTACATGTATTACAGTTGCAGGAGGGCATACAATATTCTCACATTGAGTATTCCAAAATTTGTTTTGCTAATACATTCTAGTAGGACTAGTTGAAAGGAACTGCCTGGACAACACCCTTCCTAGTACTCATTAAGTTAAGATAATTAATGTTAAAAAATTACAATATTATCTGATCTTATTTTTAGGCTGAGAGTCAAATGACCAGTCCCACCACAGGTCATGGTATAGAGGCCACCATGAGGGCCTCCACCAGGATGTCCAAGTTCCTGGATTCCTGGGGGGCAGATAAACCCTTTGCTAATCTTATTGAATTTTCTATGGCAAAAAATATTGGTGAAACAGTAAGCAGTGTTTCTACTTGTAATTATTCTTTATTTGAACAACCTGCAGTAATACAAGATACGTGAAAAGGGGCAAACTTCTTATTAATGTTGATCTGGTAAATATTAGAAAACGGAAATAGATATGAAATAGACAAGACAAAAATATGGAATAAATGGAACAAATTTTTTCATTGTTTTGAACTGCCTAAATATTACATTATTACAATGTGAGGGACCATGAACAAAATTGACAAGATGCTTGAAAAGTCTAAATTGATTTGATACGTAACAAAAATTAAAAGACCTATATGAATGATAGCAGTTCAGGGGTATTTCATTTAAATAATTATAACATTGTACAATTTTAGTATGCATATATAATGTGTTTTCCATTTTCAGAGTTTAGCCATGATGGAAGGAAACATGAACCCACTCTCTTGTTCTGGAGATCCAAGGTGATTTGATACATCATGCATTTGATCACACTGCATGTATAGCTCCTTATACAGGCCCGTAGCCAGGGGGGGTTCGGGGGGTTCGAAAGAACTGCCCCTTTTGGTGGGAAAAGGTCCACTCTGGATAAAATTTGATCTAGGTTCATGAAGTTTTTAGAGAAAAAGGTCCACTTTTTCAGAAAAAGAACCCCCCTTTTGAAATTGCTGGCTATGGGCCTGTTATACACCAGCTAGGCTTGAAATTGTTTAATTGGAGAATGAAATTTGGCTCACTGTAACGAAAGAAAATACTGCAACAAAAGAAAAGGCTTAAATATTTAAAGTCCATTGACACTGATGTATGAATTTTATGTTGACTAGCAAATATTGTCAAAGCCCCAACTTTAAAGAGAGTGCGAGTGGGCAAAAATTTGTTCTCCAAATGATCACCAAATGTGACAGCTTAAATGTATTAGAGACTTAAATAGATATTGGTATACCCGATAATTTTAATTAGTTAGTGTTAAGGCACTTCAAGTTCATTCTTCCCAGGTTAATACCAACTGATTAAGTAGTTAAATTGTGAAACTGGCTGGTTTCGATCAGATTGTTGTAAATTTTTTAATTAATTGAATTTTTTTCTTTTACTTCAGACGTTGGTTCAGGTCAGAAGACATGAATGCCTTTCTTCTTACATTCCAAAGAAACCAGTTGGAGCTAGATTACAACAGACAGGCAGACGGCTCATTCAAGTACTATGTTACCTGCACGGCTGCCATCTTTGTCTGTATGGGAGTTGTACAGTTTCTGCTTTTGCCTAGGTAAATTTTCACTGACTGTTCACAAAGATATGATTTTACTTTAAGTTACTGGTATTTTTCACCTGCTTAACTAATTTAGGTGAGTTTAATTTAAGAATTAAGATGCTTGAATTATTGCAATAGATAAAGAAATTAATGGTAGAAAATAATGTCTTCAAAATAATTAAATTAAGAAATAATTGCATATTATTAATCACTTTTAAAAGATGCCATTTCAGGTTATAAACAGTTTAAGAGTGGAAAAGCAATTTTATCAAAAAGAAAACATAGATAGTTCAGAAAATACTTTAAGTTTCAATTTTAATTAAAAGATTTCACTTGAATCTGATTACAGATCTTGATACAGTGCAATAAATACAATACAATGTATCATGATATGATATGATATGATATGATACAAAACAAACTCTGTTACAGGTATGAAGCACTGTATATTGGCTATGGGGTGGGGCTTGTCCTATTTATTATACTACTGTGTGGCACTGTAGCTGAGTCACTAGGGGTAAGTATGCCGAGACAAATTAAAGAATAGCAAGGGTTTGGTTTAAAAAAACTATATAAAATAATATAGATTTAAAACTGGTTTTAAAACTACTAGTCTACTTTGACTGAATATAAATCAGTAAAAAGGCAATTTTTTTTTTTGTTTATTTTAATTTAGGATCAAAAACTGAGGTCAAGGGTGCCACCATTTCTACTGAAGATCTCTGCTCTGGTAACAGTCAGCGTATGGGTCAGGCTACTAATGACAGCGGCCATATTGTCCACACTGATGACGTTGGCTGTGGTGACTGTGGTAAGTACTCAGGCCTTAGAAAAGATATTGCTGTGGTCTTGAGCTACTGGTTTGTTACTGCAAGCACTGTACTCACAACTTGAATTGCGATTTCATGGTGTGAATGTATAAAATACATTACTTATCGCAAGCATCACAATGTACATCACAAAACACAAGTCTACTCCCCTTTCACTTTTTCCACATGCACTGGAGATTGTTGAGAGCACACTTGTCCCATACTAATACAAGATATAAAAAGTAGATTCTGGGAGACAGATTGTTGGAGGAGATTTTCATAAAAATGGATTTTGATCAAATTTTATGGATCCATTATTATAATCATAGTTAAAGTGTGGATGCAGTTTAGACAGTTTCCTGCTCAATTTTTTCCTCTTACAATATACCTATGGTTTCAGAGTGACTGTCGTTCTGATCTCCACACCAATGTATTCAACATCACAGGAGAGCCTGGCTCCACACACTGTGATTTTGCTCCAGTAAGTACATTGTACATGTAGTAAGGTGACTTTGTCAACATTCAGTGCTCCCTTTAACCTTAGTTTGAGACATTGGTGGTAAGATTGTCAAATTGATTATTTTCTGTATCATATAGATCTAATAGTTCTTAGATATGTAAGATTTATTTAGGATCTACTGGTTTGCTTGTTAGCAGTATTAGTCCTATTTCACCTGCTGGCAAAAATAATTCAAAGGCTAAAAGAAAAGAGAGAAAGAGAGAAATTTAAAAAAGAGGATGGCATTATGGTTTGACTTCTGATTAATCTTGTGTATACCAGTACAAGCTGTTTACTGCACACTGTTGGATCCTTGATAGCAAGAAGTGAAAATTTACAGATTGCCAAAGCCACTGTCTCACCTAACACATTCTAATGTTATATTTTCAGTACTACATCTTCACAGCCATGATGGCCCTCACTGCCTGTACAGTGTTTCTTCAAGTGAACTTCATCCTCAAGTTTTTGTTCATGTTCCTTGGCATAGTGATCTACAGTATAGTGTTGCACTACTCCAAGGCAGATGTTTTTGACATGTATGATCTGCACAGACTTCTAGGGGAAGAGTAAGTTTGCCTGTCTGACTGCATATCTTTTTGTTTTTTAGACCTCTATTGATCTGCTCGTCTGTCTCTCTGTTTGTCCATCTGTCTATCTGTCTACTTCATTTTATTGTCATTCTGTCCGTCAGTTTACTGTCCATCTGTCTACTTGTCACTCTCTGCATTTACGTTTGAAGCACTGAAGTTTAAAAAATATACAATATGTAGAACCATAATTTAAGTTTAACATTTATGATTTTACAGATTTAAGTGTATAAGAAACAAGCTAATTGGATTTTAATTTAGTAACCATGCATTTGTTTATCTGTCACTTCCAGACCACACATCAGCACCAGAGTGAAGTCTACTATCTATCTTATAGTTCTCTGCATTACTCTACATATATCAGACAGACAGGTAAGTCTACTATCTATCTTATAGTTCTCTGCATCACTCTACATATATCAGACAGACAGGTAAGTCTACTATCTATCTTATAGTTCTCTGCATCACTCTACATATATCAGACAGACAGGTAAGTCTACTATCTATCTTATAGTTCTCTGCATCACTCTACATATATCAGACAGACAGGTAAGTCTACTATCTATCTTATAGTTCTCTGCATCACTCTACATATATCAGACAGACAGGTAAGTCTACTATCTATCTTATAGTTCTCTGCATCACTCTACATATATCAGACAGACAGGTAAGTCTACTATCTATCTTATAGTTCTCTGCATCACTCTACATATATCAGACAGACAGGTAAGTCTACTATCTATCTTATAGTTCTCTGCATCACTCTACATATATCAGACAGACAGGTAAGTCTACTATCTATCTTATAGTTCTCTGCATCACTCTACATATATCAGACAGACAGGTAAGTCTACTATCTATCTTATAGTTCTCTGCATCACTCTACATATATCAGACAGACAGGTAAGTCTACTATCTGTCTTATAGTTCTCTGCATCACTCTACATATATCAGACAGACAGGTAAGTCTACTGTCTATCTTATAGTTCTCTGCATTACTCTACATATATCAGACAGACAGGTAAGTCTACTGTCTATCTTATAGTTCTCTGCATCACTCTACATATCTCAGACAGACAGGTAAGTCTACAGTCTACATGTATCTCATAGTTAGTGCTCTATATTTCTAAATCTTTTATTTAAATTTTATTTATTATTTATAAACTCAGTTTATGATCACCTTTAGGTTTCATCTTTAGATATATTCTAAGGTCCTACTTGGGACATATATCATTTTTAATTTCATTTCTTACCCATAGATGGAGCACACATCAAGGTTAGATTTCCTGTGGAAGACCAAGTTTAAGGTTGAACATGAGGAAGTGGAGACCATGGGCTCTCTGACCAAAGTCCTGCTGGAGAACATTCTGCCAGCACACGTGGCCACTCACTTTCTGAACTCGGACAAAAGAACATTGGTGAGGCTCGGTCTGACAGGATTCATTTAGAAAGGATTAAATAATGATATTATAAAAGTTCATTGAGGCCAGTATATACAAGATAGTGTCAGTATATACAAGACAGCTAGATAGTGTCATTTGCTAATTTTACTCCTACATAAAAACAAATTGATTTATTGAATGGACTATGTTCCAGGTTTCAAATGTCTGCCCATTATATCAATGTATGACTGCTTCTCCTAGATTATTTGAAAGATACAAAATATGGTTTGTATTTACCAATAGGAAAGACTGGAAAACATGAAGACATATTCCAGTATGTGTAATTCATACTTAGCATATATTTTCTACTTTGTTGAACAATTATTTTGTGCGTGTGGGCAAAGGATATTACCAGTTTAGAGTTCTGTTGATTGCTGTTCCAGAGCCTGTACCATGAGTCCTACAGCTCAGTGTGTGTGATGTTTGCTTCCATTCCAAATTTCAAGGAATTTTACCACCAGAATGATGTGAACAAGAATGGACTGGAGTGCCTGAGACTCCTAAATGAGATCATAGCAGACTTTGACATGGTTTGTAGAATTATGCTCTCGTTGTTTGATTTTTACGTACAGACCTATCCCCCTGGAAGGCAAACCCTGTATCTGTTTAACTTCAACTTTGCTTGGTGACTCTGTAGCAGCTAGGTTTAAGTTGTAAAAAGTTAGCAAATTGGAATTATATTTAAATACTGTATGTCTTCATGAAGTACTACCAGTAGACACACGTAGACACACACACACGCACACACACACACACACACACACACACACACACACAAAATGTTTTTTCATTTTAACTAAATGCCCTCACCATTCACCTTGTTGACCAGCGTTTATTGTAATACCGTAATGTATCATAATTAAAAACTATAAATCCAATAGGGCATAAAGATTTTTTTGGATTGCTCGGGAAACACAAAGAGGTTGGTCATATTCTACCCATTCTTTTTAATATTTTTGGTTAGCTTTTATCCAAACCCAAATTCAGCTATGTGGAGAAGATTAAAACCATTGGTTCCACCTACATGGCGGCTTGTGGACTCCAACCAGGCAAAGATGAAAACAAGATCAATGGAGAACTGGATGGCGGAACAACACAAGTGCTCAAAAAGATTCCCTCTGTTGTGGTAAGAAGAGGACAGGGTTGTGTATGTTATTTCTTTTGGTGATACCTAGAGATGAAAGAAAATGGATGTTTTACAAGTCACAAATGAATCTGGTCTGGATTGACAGAACATTTTAACAGTTTAAGCTAGTGTGACATTTTAAAATATCAAGGTTGATATTATTGTAATTATAGAAGTTATGATGCAAAGGCTGGGCAGTGTTAGAAAAATAGGAATAAGTTTAATGATCAAAAGATATGAAAAGTCCTTTGCAAAACACTTACCCATTTCATTATTTTACTATTTGTTTATATCCTTAAGCATACAAAAGCCCAGTACAATAAGATTTAACAAGGAACTAAGCAGAAATTAAAGCACAAAACTTTGTGATAATTTTTTTCTAGAAACATTTCAAATGCAACCATAGCATAAATATCACAGACATAATTATGTCATCATGACCCATATCTATTTCAGGATCAGACAAAGTTCAAGCACAGTGTGACAGCTATGGTGGACTTTGCTATGAATATGATGGTATCTTTGGATGGAATCAACAGGGACTCTTTCAATTCTTTTCAGCTCAGAATAGGTAACAAAAAAAGTGGCACTGTGTCATTTTCTTTTTTCCTTGAAAAGATGATATTTCATTTCTGTAGTGACAATGAAAAAAATGAAGACACAAATAGATAAAATATTTGATTATTATTATTATCTTGAACATTCGATAAATACTCCACTTACTATACTAAATGTATAGCAGAATTGAACTATAACAATTGACACTGATGGGGCCAAGATGGTAAAGTCGTTTGTTGAATGATGTTTTACAAAATAGGCTTACACTGTGTTGAGTGTACAGTCATTGTGTTATTGTGCTCTCATTGTGTTAGTTGTTCAATCGTGCATTTGCTGACTTAACATCATATTACTCCTGACATAATAATTTATATTCAGGTATAAACCATGGCCCAGCAATAGCAGGGGTTATAGGAGCTCAGAAGCCACAATATGATATATGGGGAGACACAGTGAACGTGGCCAGCAGAATGGACAGTTTTGGAGAGATGGGCAAAATACATGTAGGACATTTCATATTCATCGTTGAAGTCATTCAGTGATCAAATAGTATAATTACAAATATAGTCTCTTTAAACACAATGGTCAGAGATAGCTGGTTACCTTTATCAATTTTTATATTCATCATTTTCATTTAAGTTGCCTACAACAAAGTAAGTGGACAAGAATTAAAGTAATATGTAGAAACAATGACTTAACTGTTCACCATATAGAGAGATGCATAGAGTGGTTCTTTCCGACCAGTACAGGTTTGCTTAGTAGATAGGAGACTTTAATTTTGTTCATTCATCATTTAGGTGCCAGAGCACACGGCAGAGGTTCTTATGGCGTCTGGGTACAGGTGTGAATACAGAGGAGAAATTAAGATTAAAGGAAAAGATGTTCCTATGAGGACTTACTTCTTAGCAACTTCATGACCAACAACAACAACAACAACAACAGTGAAATCAAGGGCATTAAAGTTCAAAAGCTGCACAAAATTAGTGTATTATTTTTTTTTATTATTATTATTTTTTTTTGTGTCTCAATTTAAGGAAATGGTTTCATTCAACATGCATGGCATAAGTTACTTGGCATTTGAAATTGTCAGATTTAGAACCAAAGTATAGGGTTTCTAATTGAAGTCTGGCTGATTTTACAGTCATGGACTTTATACAAATGGCGGAAATTCACCAATGTTTTTATTTCTGCTAATTTGTGCTGCATTGGTAATAGAAACATTTGTCTGTTGTTTCAAACCATCTTGCAGAGATTAAACATCAAAGTTTTACTTGGCAGTTTTAGACAGTAATTTTAATTTTTTAGCCCAGCTGTTAGCCCAGTACTAAACTCAATGGAGTAAATGGCATAAGCTTACATGTACAATATGTTTGCCAAGGCATAAAATCTTGTATTTGAATTGCTGAAATCACTTTAAAATAACAAAGCAGTGGTAATTGAGAGAATTTATTCTCATCTTTAAAAAAATCGATAAGGTAAAAGTATTAACCATTACATTACCATAAAATGTTTAAGTCATAGAGCTGTTTCATATGTATGACTATGTAATTAGATCAATGAACTCGGCACAAAATAGATGTAACTAAGGATGGAAAACGGCTCCAGTTTTTTTTTTTCAGGATAAATTAAGATGCTGAAAAAGTTGAAAAGGCTGACATGCAATTCTTCTTAAAAATATCTTAGCATTTAGAAAACTGTGAAAAAAATAGTACAAAAATGTCAACCAATAAATAAAATTGACCTCAGAATTAATTTCATTTTAATTTGTTTTCAAAATTGCAACTTGTGATCTTTTCTGCACCAACTGCATCACTGAACTATTTATTACTAAACAGTCTACTGAAAGCACAAGGGAACTGATTAGCAAGTTTGCACCTCTGTTTACTTTTAGATTTGTATGTTTGCAGGTCATTAGTCTTCAATTTATATGGTTTACGATGAAAGTGCACAAAATATTTTGGTGCAATATTGTGTAATGCTTAATAGCATAATCCGCACTAATTTTAAAGTTCCTTATACTGCTATAGTGGACATTAAAATATGTAACTAACACAGGGCTTAATACCCATGGGAATTCAAACTCACAATATGAAAATGCCAATTATTTTGTGAGAAACCAAACTTCACTTAAAAGGCATAATTTTAAAAAGAATATATTCCGAAGGTTTGTGAACTGCACTTTAATCACTTTGTCTGTCTATAAAAACCTCCTTCATCAAGTCCTTCTTGTTCACTTTTCCCATTGCATTCCTTGGCATTTTGTCCATAAACTCCACAACAGTTGGAATCTGATATGGCGGCATCTCCTTGCGGGCCCAGCTCTTCAGAGTCTGGAGATCCAAATCACATTTTTCCTTGACAACAATGACTGCTGCTACTTTCTCTCCCCATGTCATGTCTGGCAGGCCAAGAACAGCAACGTCTGTGATGAGTGGATGTTTCAATAGATGGCGCTCTACATCAAGAGCACTGATCTTATAGCCACCACTCTTGATGATATCTACAGAAGTTCTTCCCATGATTTTATAAACACCATCTCTAAAACATGCAGTGTCTCCTGCAGGGAACAAGGCATGAATACAAATTAGTATAATAACAGGGTAGGCTCATGCAAATATAGAAATATTGAGTAAAAGTGGGCAGGTTTCCTCACTTCAATAAAGCACATGATATAAACTATGCTTAAAGCTTGGGTACTTTGACAATTTGTAGAAAACTATAGATAATGTTCACATAAATAAAAAACAAAGGGAAAAAAGATAAAAATAGATGAGCCATCCTCAAAATTATGCAAAAGTAGGTTCCAGTCTGCAAACAAATATTTTTGTTCTTGGTAAAAAAAAAAAATCAAAACCTGTTTACCTACTTTTAGTTTTAAATTATGTACCGTGTCTTCAATCACTTAGTCTAGTAATCTTAAAATTATTGTTCACCAAATATTAGATGGTTACTGATGGCAGGTACTGATTATCTTAATAATAACACAGTCAACGAAATCTGTTTACTTTTAGTAGCTAGGTAAATGACATTCAAATGTATACTTTATGAAGCACCTGTTTTAAACCAGCCGTCTTGGGTAAACTCTTTGGCAGTTTCCTCTGGCTTATTCCAATATTCTTTGAACAGACTCGATCCCTTGATTTGGAGCTCTCCCTGAAGGCCTTCCTTTCCATCAGCACTCACATTTGACACTTCTACATAAACATGATAAAAATGATAACATATCAGTTTCACACTTCTTCAAACTGAACCCACTTTAGAATACTTATAGTTCTCAAAGATGAAATGTAATACAATGTTAAAATTTTCAGCCAAAGTGAGATTTAACTAGAATAAATACATTTTCTTTCTGAACAACAACACAAACAAAACATGCCAAATTAAATGATAAAAGATTTAATATACCAGCTATTCTTGCTTACTACTGTTGCTGTACATATTGGTTGCATACCTATTCCACATGTCACAAAAAAAAAATTTTTAACCTATAAAATTACACATTTCAAAAGTCTCACCATCCATACATACCACGTTTCCCAGCAGGTAGCACCTTGACCCCTTCCACCAAGACATCGTACCCTGATGGCTCATCCTCATTCAATTTGACTAGTCTGGCCTTCACACTGGGGAAAGGGGTGCCAACGGCTCCTGTGTGTGTATGAATGGAAATGACATCAAACAGCAAAAGAAGTTGTATAAATAATATCAACAATATCTGTGGGATAATGGGTATGTTGTATAATATCAAGGAATAACCCTAAATAAAACAGTACATGACCCTTTTTTGTGTGAATAAAGTAATCAGAAATTCTGATTAGAGTACAGAGTAATGGACTTACTTTAACTGAATGACTGATAAATTATCTAGTACATAAACCAGGCTTGTAGCCAACAATTCCAAAATACTAACTTCTTTTACTGTAAAAAATTGACCTTTTTCTAATTAACTTGCCCTGAGAAATGACACAGAACCTACATCAAACTTTGACCCAGAGCAGACCTTCTGTCCAAAATGGCCATTCTGCTCACCCCCTGAACCCAACAGGTGTGTAAACCTACCCGGCTTCCTCTCCCCATGCAGTGGATTGGTCAGGGCCATGCCTGTCTCTGTCATCCCGTACCTCTCCAGTAGAACATGTCCAGTGATCTCTGTCCACCTGTCCATGACTGGCTGGGGCAGAGCTGCTGACCCACTGACCATCAGCCTGGAGGTAGACGAGGACGCACATTTCAGATTAAGAGATGTTCAAAGACATAATATGAGGGGTGTGGACTGAGTAAATCCCCCCCCCCCAAGAAAAATGCACTCAAACAAACACGGCTTAGAGAAGATAGCTATAATGCTGTTTAAATTGTCTTATTGTACTCTTTGGATAAAGAGCCTCTTTCCCTGCAACCATAACATTCATCAGTCACTATCAAGATGCTACTATGCTGTAAACATGCCAATGACTGGCTCAAATGCATCGATCCTTGTCTCAGGTTTAATCTTTTGACAACCAGCCACTCCACACACACACACACACACGCACACACACACACACACACACACACAAACACACCATAGCAATTCACTTTAAACGAAGCATTTTTTCTATAATATTACCAAATTTCTTTCTTGTTTTTAAACGAGCGCAACATTTTACCCATAACTAATTCTTAATATTTATCTTAAATTAACAGAAGACTGAAATTTTCATTCAAATGTTTAGACCAATTTTCTGGGTAAAGTTTGGTAAAACAGGCCCCATGCATCAACCTACCTTATACAGGAGGAACACACAGTTTTAATGGCATCCGTTATGAAACTGCTATAATCTGCTTCTTCATACTCCTCTATCAGCTTGGCATATATGGTGGGTACTGCCATAAACATGTTGACACGATTGCCTCCAATGGGCACCGAGCTCATGAGGCACTTCCAAACCTGTCAAATGCCAGAGAACTTCACTTAAAATGACAACTGCACACTTATATCAATGATTTGGTCCTTGGTTTTGATTGTTGTCATGTTTCATGTGAGTGAAAGAGGCTATCAAATCCAAAGGGGAGGCTACAAGTTGCAAATGTGAAAATTAGTCCTACATCAGTTAATTCACTAAATATTCTAAAGGATAGCTGAAAGTATTTTTAAGAAACACCATTCAGCTTAAAAACTGGTTATTTACCCATTCAACCAGTCAACCTACCACATGCAAACACATAAAAGAGAGAGAGAGAGAGGGAGGAGGCGGTGGAGGGAGTGAGAGAAGGAGAGAAAGAAAGAAACATTGTACACCCCATAAGAAAAAAAAACAACAACCTACATTTCTGGCATTAAACTCAGGCAGCATGTAGCAAGTTGCTCCACAGAAAAGTGGTGTCATGAGGACGTTGACGATTCCATGCACGTGATGGAGGGGTAGCACGTGTAACACGCAGTCGTTTTCTGTCCATTCCCAAGCCCGTATCATGTCTTTCATCTGAGAGTGGAGGCTACCAAATGTATGGACGACTCCCTGAAGTAATGGTGTATACAATCAGTACTGGTAGGTTAAGGAAATGAAGAAGGAAGATGATCAATTTTAATCATTTGATTAGTTCATATTTATAAAAAAATAAAAATAAAATAAAAATAAAAAAAAACTTAATGTGTACATCTTAAATAAATTTGAAGGGTAAAAAGGATTGACAAGACAAAATTATAAACATTTTGGTAAAAACAAATACTCCAAAGACTAGTCTTAAAAACAGTCTGGTGGTATGAATATAATTAATAGAATCACCTTGCCACAGAAAGGTATTGTTTATTCATATCTAACCGTTTGATAGTTCCTGATAGAGAAGTCCCGCTAGTATAAATAATTATGACATTGAACAACTTCTGTGAGAGGTAGTTTCATTGTGTAAAAGAATGTTCAAACAGCTGGTTAACATTACCTTTGGTCTACCTGTAGTACCACTTGTGTATATCATTAAAGCTCTCCTCCTGAGTATATCTTTCTTGACCAAACCCTTCTTTTTTATATCAGGTTCCGTTTCACCTAAAAAATCCCCATCTTCTAATGTTAAACAAGAAATAGAATATTGTTCAGCGACTGGCTTAATCTTGTCCTCCAGTGCTTCTGTTGTGATAACAAGAGAGCTTTCAGAGTCTTGGATAAAATACTCCAGCTCAGGGGCTGGGTGTGTCTTGGAAAGAGGCACAGCGACTCCACCTGACAGCCAGATTGCATACAAGGTCACTACATAAGATATGTCATTGGGGCACAGAAATGCAACCCTGGCTTCTTTCAAACTCCTGTTACTGGTGGTTTTTAAAATTTTTGATTGGAGAGCAAGACTCCTGTTGTACAAGTTCAGATAGGTGTGTTCTCCATGGACATCCTGGATTGCTGTCCTATCTTCATACTCACAAAGTGCTGTTATCACATCCGGATGCATTGACTTCTTGGCACTGCTGCTGTAGCATGCCAGGTGAGATCTCATGCCAGCATTAGAGAATTGTACAGCACACATGGCATGCCATGAGGTTAATCTTAGACAACTCTGCCTGCTATTTGCAGAACCTTGTACATGGCAGCAGGAAGACAAACTGTTCAGTAAAATTCCAAACTGTCTGTAATGGACCTTATTGCTTATTTTCTGCTGGATCATCCCATGGGAAAATGAGCCTACATGGTGGCTCACACCCAAATTCCACTTCCACATAATGACTTTTTATATGGTAACTGCCTATAGAAATCTGAAATGGGTAAGAAATGCTAAATTTATTAAATAAGACACTGACTAAATACTATGAGTACTATCAGTATACACACACACACACACACACACACACGCACACACACACACACACACACACACACACACACACACACACTATAAAGACATTATGCTTGCAGGACTTTCTTGCATACACTTGTAGCACCCTCGATAAGGTCCTCTTTTTCCCAGTCCTTGCATCAATTGAATAGAGAGTTTAACAATGGTTTCTGGTAATTTGGTGCTGCTAATAGAAGTAGTGCATACTTTAAAGGCCCAAACTTAAGCACACTCACTCACAGCATGTGCCTTAGTTGGCCAGGCACTGCAACTTGAAAGCACTTGCATTCTATAAGTCAGCATGATATAAAAAGTGGGCTGAGCACTGTCAAGCACAATGTTTGGGGGACACAAGCCATACGACTGCCAGTTTTCCCCATAGTTTGTAATGGACAGTTTAAAAAAATTGCTTATCAAAAACAGTGTGTTTTGCTACATTTAAACAACTTTTTCCTTCACAACAGCGTAACAGTATGAGGAAAGACTATCCCCAGGAGCACAGAAGAGATATACAGAAAAACTGCAGCTCAGCTTTTTTGAAATTTGGCCTTGCAAATTTCCTGCAAATGCACAGGTGATCAACCGATGGTACAGTGAAAGGAATGACCAGAGCATGTCACTGTGGGAGGCCTTTTTATTAAACCTGAAACCCCCACAACACATTATAATTCAGTATGCAGTACATTCCCTTGTGCAGCCGTACATCTGTGTAGTGAAATACCTAAACAATGTAACTATAAGTTGTCACATCAATCAAATGTGATTCAATGTAGTATATTTTGAACTTAAAATGCGACTGGTTACATCAACACATAACCTGGCTCGCCCTCCAAACAGATCGCGTGCTAAGCGGAGTACCGCGGCCACTGTATGCGAGTTACCGGGCGGGTAAGGCCCGCTTAGTAAGAGTACATATTACCTTGTTTGCACCTGTGCCCCTGTCCCTTCCACCAGCAGGTTTGCTTCTACATGCACCATTAAAATTATAAGTAAAAACTCAAAGTCTTCTTAAATATTACACCTGATTTCGTCGATGCAACATTTAAGTTTCAACCCACATGCTTCCAAGGCAAAGGTCATAAGAAAGGACAGTCTGCTCAACTCCGATACTAAGTATTTATCTTCAAGACGAACCGTTCTTAATAAAGAATGAATAGGGGACTTCTTGGGCTTTTATTATTTGAGTAAAAGAGAGAAGCCTATAGAACGAAGGACAAACAAGCTCATTTTAAAAATGCTTGGAGAATTGTCACCTGAACTGACAATTTCCAATCCAAACGGCATGACAACCACCACGTTATTTTGGACAAATGCTAGATGAAAGAACGACTAACCCCTGTCTCAACAACCGCATCGGATATGACCGACGTGCACCAAAAGCCCTTCCGCATCAAAATCATCTGAGGCACATTTTAATGTTTTGCTGTGTCCGCTAGACAAGCTCTTTGATTGGTGTTCGATGAGCAAGTGATTTTGTTGACTGAGTCCATCTTTAAACGTAGCAACCGAGATACATTATAACCCCGTGAAATGCAGCTGGAGATTTAATTAGCCCCCTCCCTGATCCTGAAACGAACTTCTTTTTAACCAGGCAACTTGTTTGTCACCATATTTTAGACCTTATGCATTTTAAGTAAATGTTTATGTGAACAAGATCACAAAATAAAATTTCCCTTAACATTTGTGAACCCCCTATATTTTGGCGCAATTTCTAAATATCTGCTGTGCATGTTAATTAGAGAGAACGAATAATTGCAAAGAGACTGTGGTAGTCCTAGGCCTTTATTACAGTAATGCCTTTCCACCCCTGGGTCTAAAAGATTGCTTTAGATGGGATAGGCATGTTCACTTACTTTGTATAAAACCACATTCAAAACTTTCTTGTTACAGCCGTTTTAGGCCTACTTCTATGCGCAGTTTAAGACGCGCCCCCCCCCCCCTCACCCACCCACCCACCATTTCCACCTATGTATCCCCTAAGTTATGCCAGTCCCAAAGCTAAACACGACGAGCAAACTGACATGGTTTTAGTATGATATCATGAGGAAGGTTGCAATCAAGCGTTTACATACGTGACATCGATCTACAACGGTTTTTTTGTACGTAAACTCATTCTATTTCAAATGGCTTACGGGGACACCTTTGCCGCGTCCTGGCCCTTTATTTTATTCCAGTTGATAGATAGACTTTTAAGACGTTTTTACCCGAGGACTCAAAATGTGTCACTTCATGTAAACATCACTCTATCATTTCTACGCATGTCTTGCTTTGAGAGCATGGGAAACAATTCTAATATTGTATTTCACTTTTCTGTGTATCCTCTATTATGTAAATTAAAGCCTGTGCAATTCTGAAAATTTATTTGTCTCAGTTAATTTTTTAATGAATAAAATCTTCAGTAGGGTTTATTCTTAGCACCAGAAATTTATAACGTTTATGACAACTATCGACATAAGCATTCTGTATAATAATAAATTGCATGAACGTCTAATTCCACACTCAATGAAATTAAAGAAGTAATACATGTAGGCGTAGCATTTCATTTGGCAAGTTGTCACTTTCATTCCGCCCGTTATTAGTGACATATATTGTGTGGATTTTTTTTTTTTTTTAAGAGATTTTTCACTGATGTTGTTTTAATAATCGTTTCAACTTCTGACTTGCAAGATGAAGAATCTCACCTATAATGAAGATAAATAACTGTTTTTCTCCAGCACCCGCCCAGTGTAGCGCGCACGTGGAAGGCTTAATGAGCCGATAATGAGGTGATTAAGTCGACTAATTACATGGCTCGTTACGTTACATCTATGTAACATTTTTATCATCCTTTAAATAACATTCCTGCAACATATTTTACGGGGTGGAACGTTTAAGATGATCGAAGAACATGAGTTAAAGCAATGAAAAATGATGATGAACAGCAAAGTAACATATTATGCAGATCGTTGCTAACCTCTCTCTCTCTCTCTCTCTCTCTCTCTCGATAGATAGATAGATAGATAAAACGCTTAAAAGTGTTTGTTTCTCTTTCTGATTTTCATTCATCAAATACTGAGAATTTTTACAATGCTTGCCACATTCATTGAGTGGGTCGCATACAAGTGACAAAAACTAAACCCCCTTTTTTGATATTTTACACTTAAGATGGCATGATTACAATAATGTGGAGCACACTGCTGTTGGCAGTCCGTGAAGTGTTTCGCAAACCGTCCTGTTTGATGCCTTAAGCAAAGAATATATACTATGTAATTCCTTGCTTTAAGTATGCTGTTATCATAGAAGCAGTGAATAGGAGACAGACAGTTCTAAAAAGTTTTAAAAACTTATCTCTTCCACCCAAATTTTTAATAGTTGCACTGTAATAACTACATGTCATCAGTTGAGGTAGACTGTATTCGTCGGGACCGGAAACCAGATAAAATTGGTTGCACGATATTTGACAAATAAAATCCCTGACGCAAAAAAATGGGACGCTCGAGGGGCCAATCAACACTCTTTGGCTCTCCCTAAACAAAAAAACTCACCAATTTCGACTTTAAATGTTGATGAGCTTTAAAAAGTTTTCAGTGGTTAACCGTAATTCGTTTGGTGTGATGAGAGGCACCTTCAGACAGAGGCTTGCCTCCGTTGCGGCGGCTGATTCGACCACGTCAATTAATTTGTGTCTTGCTCACATGACATATTACATGACATTGTTTTTGTCCAAGATTTAAAGCGCAGGTATGCTTGCAACAACAAAGCTTCGGGGCAAAATCAGTTTTAAATAGCCAAATAATTAAAAAGAAGTGGATGGCAAAATGACGACAAGAGTGAACGGTAAAACTCAAGGATTTCTAAAAACTCTATGTCTCCCGGCCACGCGCCGTCATTGATTGAGTAAAACACCTGCGTTTTTTCGACAGGTTAATTACGGCATAAAAACATATGGTCGGAGAATGATCACGAAACGAAGTCCCCTGACAACAAGAGGGACCGAAAGCGATTGTTTAGAAACATTTAACGATCATCACGAGCTCAAAGGGGCCCAAAAGACACGCGAGGCTTTTCAAAGAAATTAATGAGTCGTGAAATCTTCGAAATGTGATACGGACGATCGTATTGTTTTCTCTCTGTTGGCTCTCCGTGCCTCGTCTATCCCTCGCCTTGAGAAGAATACACGTGCTCGTTTTCTCTTAGTTCAACCTGTTTAAAACTGTAAGTGTCAGAATTTCAGCCGCCAATGCTGATGGTTATGTTCGCACACCTCTGGTTTTTATGTATTTATCGCCCCCTTCACCTGCCATAAAATGACATGTTGGGCTCCTCTAAATAAATAAATAAATAAATAAATAAATAAATAAACGAACTTTTAAAAACACACAAAAGGGGGAAAAGAAAGTAAAATAAAAGAGTTTAAAAGTAAGACCTGCCAAAACGGAAGAAAAAAGGGGTATGAGATACTCTGCACAGTAAGTATCTTCAATAAATGACGATTTCGCACGGTCAGTGTAAATGGGGATATGTTTAAAAAGATAAAATTTTCTAGGGCGTCATAAATGAATCATCTACAACAATAGCGCTATTTTATTATATATTTTTACATAAATGGTTTAAAACTTCAATTACAGAGAGGCCAAAATCAAACCTTTCATGCCCACACAGTTTTGGCAGGCGATACCTGCCAAAATTTCTCCTGTACTGGTTTGAAAGAAGAGCTGCGCAATCTCCCATTACCGCCTTCTAACCACAGGTCCCGATCTTTTTCCAACTGCAATCATCCAAAATTACGATTGCTAAGAAATTTCGGAGATTTCCTTTCGTGTTTGAACCTGCGGACGCTCTCCGTTTCCGGCGTGGAAGTTTTTGAAGCAGGATATTTTTACAGATATCCATAGGTGTCCGCACGTGACGGGCGAAATGAGGTGAGGTCATACGCGAGGCGGACACTTGCGAGATCTGATTGAAAACATGGCGGATGATTGAAGCGTCTTGGTGAAGATTCTCCCGGGCAAAACTACGCTTTCTTTCGTACTCAAGCATCCACTGCTAATTGCCGATCGTGGGAAAGGTAGAGATAGGTAGAGCTTAGAACGTACCTGTCTGCCGTCATAGCCAATTTGTTAAAAATGATAGAAGTCCATGGGAAATGAATCTCAATTTAACGATGCACTCTTCCTTTCTTGCTTTGATCGGTTCCAAATACATAGCACTCCCAAATAAATTTCTACTATCTCGGTTGAGAAAAAAAGTGGTTGCAAAAATTAAAGTTTGCAAAAAAATTATATTTGGTTCCTTTGATATTATAGGACGTACAATGATAATACCAAGCTCAGTATTTTATCAATAAGTCATGCCTCATTAGTTTATATTGCAATACGTAACGAAATTGTCAGTATGGTATCTAAAATCAACTCCTCTTCTATTCCTTTCAATTTTTTCTTTTCTCTTATATATTTTTCATTTCTCATCGCATTATAAATATCAGATGGTAGCTAAAGTCACAGAGAGTTTTCCATCCATTGTTCACTATTTTCATTTGTAAACGAAGATTCCCTTAATAAATTGTACCAATATTTCGCGCTTAGGGAAAGAGAGAAATAATAAAATGGCCATTTTTCTTTGTTTCACCCCCATACCTCACCAAACCCTCAAAAAAACTTCGCAAATAATTTTCATGGACATAAAATTGTTGATGATTGATTTTGTTTGACGTGAAAAAGACAGTTGATAGAATATTTTTGAAAAAAATACTATACTGATACCATTTAAATAATCAAACTTGAAAGATTAATGAATTTCACGTGTAAAAAAATCGAAATCGAGTGATAGCAGAATCCATAACCAACTGGAGAGACCACTAAAACGACAAACTTTTGGTGGCGTTGTGCAATAGGATGCCTTATGTTAATGGTGCATTGTTTTTTTTTTTTTTTTACGTTTTTGGTAAGCGGCTCCTAGAAGAAACGTTAAGTAATAGGTGAGGCATTTAAGAAAGGAGCACTTTTGCACTAACGCCCAAATATATGCACATACACATATATTGAAAATGTATTGGGTCCACTTCCTCAAGTTTATCAGGTTAATCTTCCATAACCTGCTCAA